CGGACCAAGCGAAGCGACAGTCCTCCACTATCCCTGGATTGAGCGACAGTACTCAGGCCACCTGCGCGAGGCGACAGTCCTCCGCTCTGCATGGACCAAGCGACAGTACTCAGCCCACCTGCGCGGGGCCACACTCCTCCACTACACGGGGATGAAACAACGGTCCTCATCTCCACAGTGCTTATGTTACGACCCCCAAGCCCGTGTCATAAATATGCCCTACGTCATTACCGGACCCGCATGCGCACCTCATACGTGATATTGTCTTTTATAATACCCGGACTATGAGAATCCTTCTGCCATCAGCAGACGAGGAGGTAGTTCGGAACTTGATCCAGTCAGCATACCCGGACCACGAGGCAGCTTTCTGTACCGTGTCCGGACCACGAGGCAGCTTTTTATACCGCGTCCGGACCACTAGGCAGCTTTCTGTACCGTGTCCGGACCACGAGGCAACTTTCTTTACCGTATGCGGACCACGAGGCAACTTTCTATACCGTATGCGGACCACGAGGCAGCTTTCTATACCATATCCGGACCACGAGGCAGCTTTTTATACCGTGTCCGGACCGCGAGGCAACTTCCTATACCGTATGCGGACCACAAGGCAGCTTTTTATACCGTGTCCGGACCACGAGGCAGCTTTTTATACCGTGTCTGGATCACGAGGCAGCTTTCTGTACCGTAGCCGGACCACGAGGCAGCTTTCTGTACCGTATCCGGACCACGAGGCAGCTTTCTATACCGTATCCGGACCACGCAGCAGCTTTCTGTACCGTATCTGGACCACGAGGCATCTTTCTGTACCGTATCCGGATTATGAGACGATCATCTGCCATAATCAATCATGTGTGAATCATCCTACCCGGTCCACCCCAGCCGTACCGCAATATCCATACCATTATACCTCGAGCACCACATCCGGACCATTATGTCTGGACACCGCACCAGGTGCGGCCTGCTCGGGCTGCCATTGTTGGGCCACCATAACCGGACCACTTCGATGGGTGCATCATGCCCGGGGTGTCATACACGGGCTACCACGTACGGCCTACCACATCTAGATCATCGCAATCGTACCATCATAACGGGCTTATCCGAGCTAGCGCTCTCAAGGTACCGTACACGAGCTACCGCACACAAGCTATCAAACGCAAACCACCATAAACCAGCTGCCATGCTCAAGGTACCAGACGCAAGCTACCAAACACGACTTACCAAACACAAGCTTCCATAAACTAGCTACCATACACAAGCTACCAAACGCGAGATACCATAAACCAACTAGCATACACAAGCTTCCAAACACGAGTTAACGTATACAACCTACCATATACGAGCCACTAAACACAAGCTGCCAAGCACGAGCTGCCATTACAAGGTACCATAAACCAGCTACCACACACAAGCTACCGCACACGAGCTACCATACACCAGCTACCACACACAAGCTACCATACACCGGCTACCATGCCCATAGTACCCCGCCCGGACCACCACAACTGGACCGCCATGCTCAGACTATCACACGCGGACTGCCATACCCGGACCACCATACCCGGACCGCCATAACAGGACCACGAGACGGACGACCACCACCGGCCATGGCTGGACCAGCTCGAGACCGGACTCGCTGCATTATTCATGAGCCAGTCCCGTGCAAAAGGAGAATGATAGATCTCCTCCTTCAGTCATAGTAGTCGGGAGTTCGCTGCATGTTGGTGCAATCTGGCATAGCTACGCAGCTTTCATTCATCGGAGCAAGGCGGTGCCGTGCGCCCATTGCTGGATTAAACATTGGCAAATGCTAGGGTTTGGAGACTCTGGGTGGACTAATGGTTGCCGGTTTCCGGTCACTGTATGCCAACGCAAAAACCAATCGATTCTGCTGGGCGGGCCTAGCAGTGAGATGAATACCATGCGTTTTTGCTAAAGCTTGCCTTGTTTTGGCTTACACACTTATAATTATCCTCATAATTAAAGTGATTAATACACCGAGAGGATAACATTTAGGTGCAAAAGCATAACTTGCCAAAAATTGTTGAAATGCCATAACGTTGTGATTAACGCCAAAGTGACTTCAAGACCCCCATCTTAGCTTCCTTTAATCATATACACATGAATTGCTAGAATTTATGTCCTTTGGGCACGCAAGCGCAAGATGTTATTTCTTTTATTGACGGTACAATTATCGCAGTTACATCTGCATTTCAAATGAAAGTGTGGCTCCCCGGATAATGATGCATGGGTTCCTTTTCACCCGTGGAAAAAGTGTAGCCCGAAAGCTGTTGTATCAGACAACGATCATTCACGGTACCTCTGAAACATGACCACGATTTCGAAGGAGCAGATGTCCGAAAAGCAGTGATCATAAATCATGGGAGCAACATTTAGTTCATTCCAAACAGATAGGTAATTTACCTTGGATAAGCAATGACTTTGATTCTAGAATGCTCCCCACAGTGACTCGCTTTGATTGAACTGTGCTCATGAAACGGACTTATTAAAACACATGATGCAGCGTTAGGTAGTCCGATCCCAGCCCACCACATCTCTGTATGGCCACCAGGTTGTGCGGTGCACAGTCGTTTATATTTCCAATGCTTGTTCCGTGTCACCTTTTGCACGAAGCCAGACAGGTTTTATCCTATCTTGACTTTGACATCCGATCTTGTCATTTTCCATTCGAACATTTCTGCTGTAACCAAACCAGTCACTGCTGATACGGCGGCTAAAGTGGTCAACTTCCTGATCTCAGGACAGGCCAGACATAGCGCTCCGTCCTGGTGCCGGCCGCGCCGCTGCCCTCGGTCGGGCGCCTGCCGAGCCTCTGCCCTCGGTCGGGCGCCGGCCGAACCTCTGCCCTCGGTCGGGCGCCGGCCTAGCCTCTGCCCTCGGTTGGGTTCTGGCCGAGCCTCTGCCCTCGGTTGGGTTCTGGCCAAGCCTCTGCCCTCGGTCGGGCGCCGGCCGAGCCTCTGCCCTCGGTTGGGCTTCGGCCGCGCCTCTGCCCTCGGTCGGGCTTTGGCTGAGCCTCTGTTCTCAGTTGGGTGCAGCCCTGACCGGGCATTGCTGCTGGCGTGGGATGAGCAGCACGATGAGACTCGAATCACTCCATTCGTTTGGATGTGCGGAAGGTGATAATCAACCACAAGGCACTTCCGTTCTGGACCTTGCTGGATAACATCCGAGGAATTTCCGGGACTGCTGTCTTTTTCTCTCACTATGCTTTACCGTCCACTGCCTGTATAATTTTCAGCCTGTGGGGCGGTGACAACACAGTAACAGGTGGTAGCGGGCTGAACATTTTGCGGCGGTTTTTGTTGCCAATTTTTCTTCGCTGAGATAGAAGAACTGGTCGTTATCAGGTATGCAAATGTGTGTGATATTCAACGCACGCTGACGCCCATTTCTTTTTTCTCGTTGCGTTGATCACGCTGATGACACTTGACAAACGTCAGGCTGCGCCACTGTTGCTGCCTTCGGCGAGGCGGCATGACGCGGCGGCTCTTGCCGCGGCCTGATACCTGTTCCGGTACCGAATCGGCAAGCCCTGCCGCCCCTGCGTGCCGCGGCGCGCCGTTTTTGGCGGTGCCGATGCGACACCGGCCGTCAGCGGCGCCGGGCCGGCGGGCGGCTCCCACGGTACAGCTGCACCGCTTGGGGGGGCGGCCGGGGCCCGCGGCGGGCCGCGTGACATCACGCGATCGCCCCTGCACTCGGCCGAGCGGGTCACCGGGCCGCCGAGCGCCAGCCGGCGACGCCCACGGCCGGCTGGAGCAGCGCGGTCTGAGCGGCGGCCGACCCACGGTCAAGTACAGACGGGCTGCTGCAGCGACGGCTCGCCCGCAGGCGGTACCCGGGGTCAAGTGCAGACGGCCTGTTGCAGCGCCGGCTCGCCCGCAGGCGGTACCCGGGGTCAAGTGCAGCAGCTGCCCGTGGTACACGCTAGATATATCCGGTGGTGATTATTGCAAAGTCCGGCGTCTCTTCCACAAAAACCACATGTAAGAGGCTTGAAAACACGATTTCGCAGCGCCAAGTTGCTGTCTTTGACCGTCTGAGCAGTGAAAGGTCTCTCTCACTTTGTCTCCGCCTCGGTGCTCTGTTACGTTAATGCCTCCGCCTCTCCCCACTGGTGGGCGTGAGCGACCATAATGCTTCCTCCTCCTGCCGCACCGTTCACAGCTGACTGGGGAATGGGTACCTCCCGGCCTGCAAGGCACATACGGTCCTATTTTAGCAGCGGAACGTCCATCCCGGCTTTCAATGTATAATTAAGCGCCATTAATGTCGATAAATTATTCGGACAGCGCTTATCTGTACTACCCGACGGTATTCCGAATCTGGGACGGAAAATGCGATTGACGATCGGGGAGATGGATGTGCGGCGGCCACGCCAGCGCGGCATCGCTGCCGGCCGGCGGGGCGCGGCGTGGCAGCCGGTCGCAAGGGCCTCCCGGACGCGCCGTCGTCGCCTCGTCGGCGCCGACAGGGCCACACGACAGCGCTGACGCGGTCGCTCGGCGCTCGCGACGCAGACGACGTCTCCGGCGGCGGCGTGGGGTCGGGGCCCGCTCGTCGAGCGCCGCGCAGCCGCCGCCGGCCGGTGCTGGACCCGAGACCGGGCGGCGGGCCTCCGTTGGGCAGCGTCGCCGCCCGGCGCTGCGTAGCCGGACGACGCAGCCACCGTTACAGCGCGCGCCGACCGGCCGGCCGGCGAGCCCTGAGGAAAGCACGGCTCGGCAGTTAGCTGCACGCAAATGGGCCGCGCTGAATTATTTATTTTGCTGCACGCCGGACCGATGACGCCATGCGTAAGACGATACGCGGCCGTACGTTAGCGGCCGGCTGGCGGACCACGGCGCGCCACCAGCTGTGGTCGCGCGCGTCGGGAGCTCTGACCGGACGCTGTGCCCCACGGGAGCACCGCTGCCGACACGCAAACTTATCCCAAACTTAGCCCGGCCACCGTGTGACGTCACACCTGGCCGCGCCCGCAGGTGACGTGGCCGGCTGGACGGGCGGCCGCCGGTCGGCGGGCCTGAGAGCGGGGCTCATCCCGACGCACGTGCCCAAGGCCGCCGGTGCGGCGCGGCCACGCTCCAGCCCGGGCCGCGGCTGCCGGTGCCGCGCCCTGCCGCAGGACATCCTCTGCCTGGAGCGCGATGCCGACGCCTCCTCGTGCACCTGTTCAGCGCGTGCGCACGCGAAAAGCAAGGTGAGTGGCAGCCGGCGGCCGCCTCCCAGGCGCGCGGCCGGTGAAAGTGGCGAGATCTCCTGGGCTGGGCGCCGCCGCGTCCAGCACATTTCCATTGTTTTCCCGCGTCGGCGCATCCATCACGGGATCTGCGATTTCTCGAAACGCCCAGCGGGCGAAACCATTACTCTCGGAGGAATTTTTCGCACGCCGTCGCGCGCCGAGGCATTTGTCTCGCGACAGCTGCCCCGTCTCGGTCCCGTGTCCGGCGGTGTTGGGGCAGCGCTGTTCTGTGTAGTGCTGGTCGGCCCGCTCGCTCGTCTGTACCGGGTTTGTCTGTAGGGCAGACGCCGAGCCCCGCCCGCCTCAATGACCCCGTCCCCGGCCCGCAGCCGGCGGCTTCCGTGCAGGGTGACTACGTGATGGAGGAGTACAAGCTGGACGACAAGGAGCTGGCCGCGCTGGAGAAGCTGTACGACTTCCCGGCCCGTTCCAGCATGGCGTCATCGCAGGTGCGCGCCGTCAGCATCATCGACACGCTCAGCCAGATGGCGCGCACACCGGAGGCGCGCCGGCTGGCGCAGGCGCCGCAGCGGCCCGCGCCCAAGCAGCCGACCAAGCGCGCGCCGCCGCCCGGAGCCCGATCGGAGACGGACGGGCCGGCGCCGACCCAGACGCTCGACCGGGAGGCGATCATCGCGCGCCTGCTGGCCGAGGCGGCGCGCAGCCCGCCGCCGCCCATCCCCAGCCGCCGGCCCGACCTCTCCGTGCTCAACATCCGCGCCGAGGTGGCCAACAACGCGGCAGTGCGCGGTAAGCTGCCGACGCCGCCGGCGACGGGCGGCGGCGGCCGGGAGCGACGCGACGAGCCGCCGCCGGCCGCCGACGCCACCAGCCGAAGGGACGACCTGCTGGACGACCTGTACGGCCGCATCAAGGGCCGGCGGCCGCACGAGGTGCGTCGCACGCCCGACTGGATCCGCACCATTTTCGACGTGGCGCGGCGGGGCAACACCGCCGAGCTGGTGAGTAACGGATGGGGGTAACACCACCACGTTCCACGCCGGCGAGGGGAGATGAGAGAGGCGACGCAGGTGTGGTCAGCCACGCACCTGCACTACAACATCGCGGGATTATCGAAAGTAATCCTCTTTTGGCGTGTAGGTCAGGTTCCAGTAACAGTGTTGATGAATCCGGCGTCGTATCCTGTTCGGGGCTCTGCGCCAGGTGCAGACAGGGCTCACCAGCTATCTGACAGCGATCAGCATTCAGCGCGTGGCTGGAAGGGCGCGAGCCACGTGCTGACGCCGCCCTGTCGCTCCCAACAGCGCTCCTCTCTGGCCGACATGGAGCCCACGCTGATCCGTAACCTGTCCGACCACCACGGCAACAACCTGGCGCACGTGCTGGCCGCCTGCGGCCACGTGGAGGCGCTGGCCTGGCTGGTGGGCACGTGCGGCCACGTGCTGAGCGAGGCGCTGGCCGACGAGAACAAGCACGGCATGACGCCCAGCGTGGCCGCCGTCCGAGTAAGTGACCGCTCTGGGTCTGAGATCGGGCCTGCCGCTGGTGCAGCTGTGCTCCTTGACATTGTTTGGTGCTGTTCGCTTCGTGTCGCGTGTCTCTGGCAGCAATAGCTCAAATGTGTTTTCACTGTATGTGGTTGCTTACAGGAAAGTATGCGGTAAGTGCTGTAATGTTGCACCGTAAGCTACACCTATGGAGATTGTGGTGTGTGGATTATGGTAAACGGCGACTAACAGGAAAGGCCGCAAATGCGATTTGTGACGCTTGACAGTACGGTACTTGCAACGCTCCCAAAATGTGCAGCAAAAAATAGTCATGCAATGGCAGTTATGTTGTACGTCCGTCGTCTGTCGTCTGTTCCCGACCTAATCAGTTAGTTTAGCCATGTTAATGGAGATAACATGAAACCCTGCATAGCGTGACATGTGAGCCGATAAACCAACCCATGGGTGGCATTGTCGCCTCACCGAAGAAAGCACTTAAGCATTACAATCTACCGCAGGAATGTACTCCTATCTTGTTTTATTACGCATATGAAAAGCCCTTAGTCCGGCTCAGGCCTGGTCTGACAGGTGTTTTTCCCATCTTCGCCGGGCTAGAAAGGCCCGGCAGGCCCTTCACTCAAATGCAGGACATGCTAAAGCCTAGTGGAAGGCAGCTCTGTACAGCCCGCATAAATCAATGTCCAGTTAGTGTCACCAGTGCACATGACCTTTGATGGGTTGAAGCAGAGCATTGCGCCTGCGGCGATACTTTACGTACATTGGTATTTACCCGCACGGTGATACATTAAGGTCTCCTCGATATTCAGAACTGCGCGCCACGGCAGCGGGGAAAGCAGTGTTGTATATCCCTGACCGTTGATGGCTTGTGACATGTGACATGTCAAATCAGGTCATGCGCATCGACCAACTCCGTGGATATGGGGCTCGCCAAACCCGTTATCTTGAGAACTGTACATAGTACGACAGAGAAACAAGAAATCAACGAGTGATCGCGCTAGTCAAAAGGCATCAGATTTCGTCTCATGTGGCCTAGGACGTGTCAGATCAGGTTAAGAAAGGTTGAAGAATCATCACTGTAGAGGTGTTCTTGTCGTGCATGCATCGCTGGCCTGAACTTAGACGAACTGGCCTAGCTGTGAGAATATAGAGAAATCTGGCCATGCAAATGTCACCATTCTACGTTTATTGCCTTAAAAGTTATTCTAGAACAATATCAAGGTGTTTGAGAACACAGATTCGGCGGGCTAAACATCCATGCACTGTATCAGTGTGTCAATGACAGAAATGTGCAATCAACTTGCATGCGAATCCGAACAATGTACTTGCGGAACATGAACTAAGATGCATGTCGTTGCTGGGGTCATTTTCTGAAAAGTTCAGTCAGCGCTCCAACGTTTTGGCGAAAGTGAGACATGAGTTTGGAAAAATTATCCGCGGGACGAGCCAGCGTTACCTCGAGCCTGCTGTCCACCCTGGTGACAGAGTCTTGAATCGAAGTACGACGGTGTGCAGTGCCTGTCTGTCCCTCCGGCATGGATGGACGCGGGATGAAGCGTCTGTTTGTCCCTCCGGTATGGGTAGACGCGGCGTGCAGCGCCTGTTTGTTCCTCCGGTATGGGTAGACGCGGGGTGAATCGTCTGCTTGTCCCTCCGGTATGGGTAGACGCGGGGTGAAGCGTCTGTTTGTCCCTCCGGTGTGGGTAGACGCGGCGTGCAGCGCCTGTCGGTTTCTCCGGCATGGGTAGACGCCGCGTGCGCCCGTCTCGCTCGGCCGCCCGGCCTCCCGCCAGGAATTCAGAGCATGTTTTATCCGAGGATCTCCGGTAATGATGGAAATATGCTAAGCTCGTGGGTCGCCGGCGACCGGTGCCGAGCCGGGCCGGGCGCCGGCCGCTCCCCGCCCAGCCGTGTGGCGGCCGGGCCACCGGATCAGCGGGCAGGCCCCCGGCCACCCGTGCCGCGCGCTCCATCGTGCTCGGGCCGCCACCGCCGCACTCTCAACTGAGCATGGGCAGAACGCTCTTCGCTTTCCGCCGCATTCGGTGACTTCAGATGCCGAGCGAGTTGTCCATCAGATACTTCTGTCGGGCTCCAGGCCCCGTGAGACGAGTACGTTTTCTGTGCGGTGGGCAGATCACAGCTCACTGAATGTGTGATACTATAATGTTAGCAATGAGATACGTTTCATTCGCCATGCGATTAGGCAGCGCCCTAACCATTTTTCAAGCACCCGCCAGAACCGTTGGTTGACGAGCCAAACGATCTCACTAGCTACCTCCCTGTTATCGGCGGCTATTCTGGTGTGTGTGACGCGCCGCAGATGTGCACCCAGTCTCGCCCAACGCCTCCCGTCTCTTTCGCAGTGCGGCAAGCTGGACGTGGTCCAGTGGATGGTGGAGAACACCATCATCCGAGACCGGTTGCTGACGCGTGAGGGGGAGCGATCGTTGCTCCACGCCGCCGCCAAGTACGGCCAGGTGAGTACCGGCCGCTGGCGCCGGTCAGATCCGCCTCGACCGGCGGCCGCTGGGCGGTCAGCTGCGGCCAGCGCGCCAGGGCGCGGCCCGGTTCATGCTCCCGCAAGCCGAGCGTGGTCCGTCGGCGAGTTCTGATCCGAGTCTAACCGACGCGTCTCAGCGCGGAGCTGAACCTGACCCGGCGCCGGGGAGCTTGCGCTCCCATTTGTCCGGCTCGTCAGCCGGTCCAGGCCGCTGTCTGGCCCAGGCTGCCGTCCGGTCCCGCGCGCGCTACACACAGGTGGCGCGTTCGGTGAGAACGCGGCGCCCCGCAGCTTCTGCACGCTGCTCGATCGCCGAGGCGGTTTGGCGGCCGGCCAGCTGCTGGCGCTCCCGTGCCGCCTCTGGGTCCGTCTCGCGTCCGCCGCTGCCGCTGACTGGGCCCCGAACTGAAACCGGCGGTGCTGCCGCCGCCGCTGCCTCGCTTCATCACTCCGACCACGCCATGTGGCTGCGGCTACAGTCTCTGCGGTTCCTAAATCCCTTTTCTGCCCAGCCAGGCGAGTGACAGCTATGAAGTCAACCGACCGTAGTTGCTGCAAACTATTAAAGCTCTAGCCTTTTCTGGCTAAACAGTTTGATTGCTGTTCGGCTGCCGACCAGTTCCGGAGACATTATATCCTAATGGATGCGTTTCGGTAACCTGGTCTTTGGTGATCGTAGACGGGATCGTTTGAGGTTTCGAGAGGTGAATGAACTCTCATTGATCGATTACTTGTGGCAATTAGGAGTAGGAACGGCTCTTTTTCCGGCGACTACTGGACCTCCTGTCGCAGTCTCGTGCCCCAATTTTGATCAGCTGGTACCTATGTTGTGCTCCGGGATCTCCCCCCCCCCCCCTACCAAGGACGTGGGCATGCGTGCAAAGGGGTTTTGAGGTCCGTGCTCGCAGCTGAGCCGTCAAGGACGGGCCAGAGGTCCATTCTCGATTCCAGCATTGGCGTGAGGGTCCGCTGGCTGTTTGACGAGCGAAGGGAAGTCAGCGCACGCATGCGTTGACGCGATCAATTTAGTAAAGCCAGCAGTTCAGCGACTGGACTCATTTCGCTAACCGCAACGCAGCGTTGTCGGTCGGGCGAGCTGACCCTTGACACGCGCGTCAGCGTTGGGCCCGCAACAGATGCGCGCGGGCGACCCACTGCTCCATGCCTGAGCTGGACGGGGCCGGGCCAGATGCGTGACGTCGCCTCTCGCCGCCCGTGCTGCCGCCAGACCCAGCCTCCGCTGCGCCCGTCAGGGAGCCGACCCGGCCTGTCGCCGGCCGGCCGCCTTTCTCTGCGCGCGCGAGGTCGGCCGGGGTCGGCCGAGAGCGCGCCTCCGCCCGAGTGCGCGTGCGTCCGCCGCGTGCGACCTGCCTCCAAACGGCGGCGCCGATCGGTTTTACATAGGGAGAGCCCGGCGCGGCTGACGGTGCGCCGGCCCGTTTGCATACCCGTTATAAATGGCGTCGCATTATGTATGCGGTCAGGGCCCGAATGGGACGCGGACGCGGCCGGCTGCCGTCTCCTAGCTCCGACCGGCGGGTGTCGCTCCACCTCCTCAGGAGATGCGCCTGAGGGCGAACGCGCAGACGCGCCGGCGAACTCGCTCGCCGTCCGCCGTCGGGCTGCCGCTGGCGGGCGACGCACGGCCGGGCCTTACTGCCGAGCCGTGTAACTCCGGAATGCGGCGCTGGCAGCGGCGGGATGTGGCGCTGGCAGCGGCCAGTAACGGCGCGCGCACGAGCGTCGCCGTCAAGGCGGCTGGATCGGCTCGGCTTGGCTCCGATGGCAGATGCCACTAAACCGTAATTGGGGATGCTGCTCGTCTGCACAGACGAGGGGCGCGTGACGGCTCAGACGGCGCTGAGACATGATCTGACCGCAGTTTGGGTCCGCCAATGAGAATGCCGACCGCATGGTGCTGATATGCCTTTTCGACAGTGGAATGTTGCCTTTTTCCGACCTGAAAAGCTGCTTTTTCACGTGGCGAGATTGCAAAGTTGCAATATCTCCTCTTTGATCGGCGAAATCCGCGCACAATTTCCTCAGAATTCGCACGAAATGCGTTACAGAGCCCAAGTGCCCGATGCTACTCTTTTTGAACGACATCGGACATATTCATCATTGTTGAGTGAAAGGTGTAACTGATAGGACTTCAGACAGCTGTTTTTACAATGGTGTGCAGCTCGAATGCACTTTTCGATTCGGCCTTTGTATAACATATGAAATAGTCCAAATAAGGCGGATAAATTAAAATGAAACGCTGAAAAACTGGTGTGCGCTTTGAAAAGTGATAATTTCCGTCGTTATCCCCATCATCATATCTGCTCTCTAGTCGGGTTTTCAAAGCAGCATTTACACTTCTAAGCTTCGGAAAGAGGTGGCCAAGTAACGAAAAATCGTCGGATCAAGTTCCGAGCTGACGCAGGATTCTTCCGACCCCCACCCTTGCCGCCTACTTTGCCTATCGTACTGCACAGTTTTAGTTTTTTAACATGGTATCCATCCAAGCAATAATACGTCCTAATCTATGCATGACCCGAGTCCACAGCCGTCAGTCAGTCCAGGCCTCCAGTCCATTGACATCAGTCAGTACAGGCCTCCAGTCCATTGACATCAGTTTGTCCAGGACCTCGGTTCACCACCGCCAGTCTGTTAAGGACCCCAGTTGGCGGCCGTCGCGTGGCGGTCGCACCGGCGCCTGTTCTAAGCAGCCTTCAGCTGGCTGTATGGGCCGGCTCGGAGCTGCACCACCGTCTCCCCCCCCCCCCCCCCCTCTCTCTCCGACCGACGGCCGGGCAAGTCACGCTCAAAGATTGGGCCGCAGGCGGGTGACACGGCGGAGCGCGTGCCTCCGGGCCCTCTTCTGACGAGTCATAATGCAGGCCTTTTATCTTGCATGTACGGTGTGCGACCCTCATTTAGCGGGGCCGGCGGTAAGGTCGGTCGGGCGCGATTCATCCCGGCAAATTCGCCCTTATTGCACGTTCTATTAAAGATTTTGTATATCAAATGAGAACATTCCGCGTCGTCACTGTTGTTCAATCAGAGGTAGCTGGGTGTACGTGAGCCGGGTCGGCGCGGGGCATCGACGACACGTCCCGCGCCGGGCCCACGCACAGCGCTCGCTGCACGGGAGGGAGGCCCGCCGCCGCCGGGCAGCCGGCTGGAGCGAGGCGCCGCCGCCGCCGCCGGCCGCCGAACAGAGCAGACTGGCGGGCGCGCCGGCCAGAGCTCTCCACAGCCGACCTTCGTCCGGGCGCGGCGGCGGAGCGACGCGGGCCGGCCGGACGGCGTCCGCAGTTCCGGACTCAGCGCGTAGAGTGCGCCAGGCCAACCGCCAGCCTCCGCCCGTGAAGCTCAGACTGCGAGGTCCACACGGATCACATGTGGCTGCGGAGGAAGCTGCGCATGCACATCGCGGCTTCTGTTTTCATGTCGGAGCGGGCGATGGAAACATCGTGAGCTGCTTCGGATGAATTCCCGACCTTGGTAAAGGAAGGCTCAGTAGATAACTACCAACTGTCTCTGCCCGAGAGAGCACCTTCATATCTCTCTATACCTGGGAACGAAAGCGTTGTCATATTATGCTATCAGTTATCATAAGACAGGGAATGGCAAAAGCTCTTTCACGGCAGATGCGTCGCGATACACAATAACTTTAAAATGTGAGCTACGCCCTTGATGTTAAGAGATCATTCATCCCTGCCGTGAGGCATGACACCGTGCTCGTATTTCGGCTGGTGCTGCTGTCCGACCTTGCTGGCGGGACAGGCGGCGCCGGGGGCGGCAGCCGCGCGCCGCGCCCAGTCGCAGCTCCAGCGACCGAGGCCCGCCGTCTGGCGGGGACCGGTCCGACCCACGCAGGCGGGCCCGCCGGCCGACGAGCACGCGGCGCGCGCACTCACAGGGTCGGTGCCGCCGCGCGGCCGCGGGTGGCCCCCGCCCCCACCACGGCCCTCGCGCAGGGAGCGGTCGGGTCGAGCGGCCGCTCTGCCGTGGTGGCCAGCGGCCCGATCCCTGGGAACGCGCGGTCGGGTGTATATTTAGAGCGCTGCAGAATGCTTTACGCATGACTGGTCGCTGCACACGTTGCCAGCACTGCGGTCCTTTATACGGAAACTTCACTCGTCGAGTCAGGCGTACGGTACGCCACATGGTTTGGGCAGCGAATGTGGCAGTTTTATTCTGGCAAGGCATCAACCACGGCCGCTCATGTTTTATGGACGAACGATGCAATGCTAGCAAGGCTGGACGCACTTGAATACGGATCATCATGGATTTGTATTACACCTTGCAGTAACAGAACCTGATTAAGTATATGTAGCATGAATTGCACTCGCCAAAAGGCACACCGCGGGGGGTGTTGCAACGTTTTGAAGGGATGAAGGCGTAAGTGGTGCATCAATTACGCTCCAATCCAGCGCCTGGATACTATCAGATGGCTCCCGAAATGAGGACGCCGCTTCCCCGGCCATCCGCGGGTTGCACGTCGGAGATCTCCCGAGACGAACACCCGACACAGCTTCACAGCTGCGTGCACGAAACGGCTCCGTGCTGGCCACCTGCTCTTCTGCCCGGCTTTATTGTGGCGCTGGCGCCGGTCATGGCAGCGGTGTCACCCGCGTACAGTGGCATCGCGCGTCACTGGGAGCTGATAAGCCAGGTGACCTCGCCCGTGAGGCGTCACCGCATCGACTGTGAGACTTCAGGCGATAGCAGCTGTGCTAACCGGAAACACGACTCGAGGGAGGGGGGGGGGGGGGAGAGAATCTGACCGTTGACTGTTGCTTGCCACCGTATGGGACGAAGGGCCGGAAGTGACGAGTTGACCGAAGCGTCGTCCGCCGCTCAACGAAGGCTTCCACACTTCATTCTCAAACTCTGCCCACTTCGCCGTCCCAGCGGCAGCAGATCGGCGCGCGCGGTTGTGGCGTCGCCCGCCGACCGCACGGGGGTCTGCAGCTCGACGCGCCGCGCGACGGCGGTGCGGTCGACGCCGGCGTCTGACGCGCGTCCTCGCCCTGCCGCAGGTGGAGATCACCTCCTGGTGCGCCGACCAGCTGCAGCGCGAGGGCCAGGGCGTGGACCTGGCCGACCACCACGGCGACACGCCGCTCCACCTGGCGGCCAAGACGGGCAACACGGCCGTGGCGCAGCGGCTGCTGGAGAGGAACGCCAGCGTCACTGCCAGGGTGAGAGGGTGGCGCGGGGGGACGCGGCCGACTGTGCGCCAAACGACACGTGGTTACTATCGCGTTGTGTCCAATGTCGTTGTCACATAGAAAGCACAGGTTTGCTGTCGTTGCTTGCGAGTAGGGACACATCGAAGTTCTCATTTTAAACCAATGACATGTTTGCAACGAAATTTTTGCTTTAAGAATTACCTGAACACTGCAACTTCTAAGTAAGCTCAAAAGACGACCGAATCGTATAACTTCGGTGAAAAAGATGTAAAAACAACCTTTTTCCAGGATCTCACCGGTGGGCGCAAAATGGCCCTGATGCCGACGCGCCCTTAAAACCCAAATCACCACCAGGATCTCACCGGTTTAAAAAAACAACTGCAGCGGTTTCATTACTTCTCTGCGCGTCTGACCCACCACCAAACACCACTCTCCCAACGCCTCTTTAGATACGTGCCTGGGTCACCAGCCGTCAGGTTCATGCTCCGTTCCACACGCTGTGCCCTTGGGTCGACGCACGTGACGAGCCAGCCCGCTGGCATCGCGTTGGCCGAGCCGAGCCTGACACCGCCGACGCGTTGGCCGTGCCGAGTCTGACCCTGCCGACGCGTTGGCCGAGCCGAGCCTGACCCCGCCGACGCGTTGGCCGTGCCGAGTCTGACCCCGCCGACGCGTTGGCCGAGCCGAGCCTGACCCCGCCGACGCGCCGACAGAACGACATGAGCCTGAAGCCGTATGAGCTGGCGGTGCACCACGGTCACGCCGCCTGCGCCGAGTACCTGCTGACGCACGAGGCGCTCGGCGACCTGGCCGTCGACTTCACCAGCTTGGAGGCCGAGGCCGGTCGGCTGCAGCACGAGAACGGCGACTACAAGAACAACTTCCGGTGAGATGCGTTGGCTGCCCTTCGGTGACGGGCGGCGCGTCGAGACGGCGGCGTCGCAACCCGCGCGGTCATGTTTTCACTGCCATCTCCACCCGGGTGATCGGAACAACTTGTGTTGCCTTTAGCATAACCATACACCCTGAGCTTTTGATGATCAACACCAGGTAGCCTCGGCATCCCACCAGCCTCACCAGGCAGCCCAGGTCAGCTTCGTCACGATGAAGAGCAAACTTCCCATCACTATCACCAGGGACACTCGTTCCGAGCTCTCACTCATCACTCACCAACAACCTTCGATTTACACGCGCTGCTGGTGCGGGTGGAGGTAGATCGGTACTTTCTATGTGATGTGGTTCACCGTTTTACTGTGGGTTCGAATTAGGGCCGCGCTATTATTTCGTAATGTCCATCGCCGCATCAAAGCCTGTTCCACTAGCTTCGGCTGTTGCCTCAAATACTCCTACAGTATTTCAAATAGCGTCGAGCGCTGCCTCTGTCATTCGCGCCGTCTTTTGTCGCCTGCTATTCCAAAACAGCTTCGACAAGCGGCACACTACAGTCCGTCCTGGCCAGCGGACCCTGTGCTCTCGCCCCCGTGGAGCACCACCCGTCTGAGCCCGGCGTCTCTCCGTACAGGGAGGTGCTCTCCGTCTCTCGCAAGCTGCTGCGCGAGCGCGAGGACATGTGCAAAGACCTGAGCCGACTGCACGAGAGCACGCTGGAGCTGCACGACCGGCTGCTGGGCCAGCTGCAGCAGCTGTCGGCCGAGAACCGGCAGCTGCGCCGGCGGCTGCAGGAGCCGGCCGACGAGCCGCCCGAGCAGCTGGACGAGGCGTCTGAACTGGCCAACACGCTGCACGTGCGATGGCAACACTGCCAGCGCGCCTGGTTCTCCGCACCGTTGGCCGACACCCAGCACCGGCTGCTGGTGGCCGAGCAGGCCTGGAAGCGACTGCGCGCCTCGCGCAAGGACAACGTCAGCAGCATGACGAGCGCGCAGGAGATCGTCAGGTGGGTCCGCCTGCCTGCCTCTCTCAGACCCGGAAGGCGGGTTGTTAGCTCAGACAGCGGTGAAGGCAGGTCTGGCATGTTGCTGTGGTGTCAGACCCCAGCTACCTGATGTCTATTCCCCATGTGGTGCTATCGACTGCCTTTCGCCGAATGACATCCGATAAGCTCTGAACAGAGCAGACGGTTTAATATATTGGCGACGTCTGAATGTCATAACTTAAGATGGTCTACAATAATAATAATAATATAACAATGGTCTACTTAAGAAGTAAACAGTGCACTTTCCCACGTTCGCTCCCGCCTTCAGTATGGTAGCCAAAGTCTTGACCCCTTCAAAATGCCCACAGGAACAAGATCGGGGACCTGCGCGCGCAGTCGGCGCAGACGCGCTACCTGGACTCGCGGGCGCTGTCGTCGTCCGAGAACTCCCTGGTCGACTCGGAGTTGTACCAGCAGATCTCGCCGCAGCGGCAGGAGCCGGCGGCCAGCGAGATCTACGGCGCCAAGTCGCTGGAGGGCAGTGACGCGTGTGGCGCGGGCGCGCGCCTCAACGGGCGGCGGCGCGCCGCGCGCGGCCAACCGCTCGACGCCGGCTTCCTCAGCGAGCACGAGACAACGGACCTCTACGGCCGGCAGGCGTCGGGCCCGCGGCGGCGGCCGGCGCGCGCCGCCCGGCCGGTGCGGGAGCGGCGCGGCCAGAGCGTCGACAAGATGGAGCGACTGAGTGTGAGCGTGACGGGCGGTGGCGCGCCAGCCGCCTCCTCCGCCGGCGGCCTCTCGCGCAACCTAGACCTTAGCAAGAGTCTGGACTTCAGCGACGGCGCGCTCGATGGCGGCGGTGACGAGGTGCACAACTCGACGTTCGCAGCGCGGCCGCGCGGCGGCGGCGCGCCGGACGGCGCGCAGGACGAGCTTCGGCGACAGCTGCGCGGTCTGGCACTCGTGTCCGACTCAGGCTCGGCATCGGTGCTCGAGGTGATTGAGCCGACCGGCAGCGAGGCCGGCAGCACGGTGGACCTGGTGCAGCGCGAGATCGAGGCGCAGCGGCGCGCGCGGCAGGCGCGCTCCCGGGACTCGTCGCGCTCGCGTGAGCGACGCCAGGAGCCGGCGGCTGGTGACACGGCTAAGCAGCTCGACCAGGTGCGCGCGCGCAGGAGCACCCCTAATGAGGACGACAGTGATTTTTTAGGACTTCGGACTGGCAAACCGCACCGGTCGAGAGTGGCGAGTGAGGCGGCCAAGTGTAGCGCGTACGGTGACGGAGTGAGGCGAGCGCACGCGACGGCCGACGGCCGACGGTCGGACGGTGGTGCTAGTCTGGCTAGCCTAGTGCTCTCGGAGCCAGACATCCTGCAGGGCACACGGCACACGTTGGACAGAGCGGAGGAGGCGTCTCCGACGGCCCGTCCCGAGCCGGCCGAGCCCGTGGCGGTTCCCGGACAGGAAGAGACAGCCGCTGAGGAGCCGGACCGCGTGCTGTTCGAGCTCGAGGGCGGACGCGCCCCGGCGCCCGACGCCGCCGCGTCAGGCGGCAAACGGCGCGGCTTCCTGCAAAAGTTCGCCATGCGCACGCGCTGGAACAGCCGCAAGAAGGAGCGGCCGTGGCGAGCCGGCCAGGAGATCAGTGTCGAGGAGTTTCGCGAGATGTACCAGCAGGAAGGGCGCGACGTGTCCGTCTCGTCGCAGGACCTCAGCGCCTCGGAGGCCTCCTCGCTGGAGGAGAAGAAGCGGCTCTCGCTGGTGTCGCACGGCGAAGGCGCCTCGCTGTCGGAGGCCTCCGACGCCGAGCACCGGTCCAAGCGCGCTTCCGTGGCGTCCAAGCGAGAGAGCGACTCCAACGAACCGCCCGAGTCGCCGCACAAGGAAGCGGCGGCGGCGGCGGCAGCCGGCAGCGACCCACGATCACCGCCGCCCGGCCTGGCCGCCGCCGCCGCCGACCGCCTGGCCGACTCCAAACCGGCGCCGCCCGCCAAGCCGAGGCTGGGTGCCAAGCCGCGCACGCTGCCGCGCCGGCTGCCGTCGGCGGCCGCGCCCACACCGGCCGAGCCGCCAGCGGACGAGGTGCCGCGGCCGGCCTCGTCCGCCAGCCGACCCGACTCGTCCGCCTCCACCTTCCCACCGTACAAGGGCTTCGCACTGGCAGGGGCCGGCGCGCTGGCGTCTGAGCTGCTGCCGCCTCCCGAGGGAGGCGCCGCAGGCCGCCACAGCCCGGCGCCCAGCGAGGCCAGCAAGACTGAGTCGGCGCTGTCGCCGCCCTCGCACGCGTCGGACGTCTCCAAGACTGAGTCGACGCGTCACCTGAACCAGCTGGACAAGATCGAGGAGCTGCGCGCCGAGTCGGTGCAGAAGCTGGCGGCCGAGGCCGAGGAGACAGCCGCGGCCGCGCCCGAGGAGACGGCCGCTCGCGTGGCGCCGCCCGCCGAGCCGGCCGCGCCCAAGCTCAAGCGGGTGAGTGGGACGCAGGCACTCCCCTCCCCGCAGCTGTGAGGCTGGGCCCTCTCGTTCGCTTCTTTCCCACTCTGTATGACGGTGACCACGTGCTTTTGTGTGTGGCCTGCTTCGTGTGCCGCTGAGTGACCGGGATGGTGTGTCTGTGCACCTCACCTGGATGGGGTGCTACCGTGTGTGGCGGACCACATGTGCGACTGGTGACATCTGTGGCATCTGTATGACTGTTGCGTAGTATAGCTGCGAGGATTTGCCTCTGTGTACATCCATGACGATCTACTCCTGTGTGACCAGCTCACTGCCATAAAGTTGCCCACTGAAACGCACATGGACACCGATTCTGCGCATGCATGTGACTGGGCGTCTAGGACTTGAACCTGCGTAGGGCCGGACCTCGGACCCGGTACCTCGGTGTGTCGGGAACTGACCGACGACTGCACTATGTGTGACCGGGACTCGTGTCGTTGATTGTTTCGCCAAGTAACGGTGTCGCTGCGTCAGGTCACGTGTCAATCGTGTCACTGACGATCGTGCGTCTATTCTGTGCTGTTGTGCGACTAATGCTCTCGCTTAGAAGCTTTATCACCGGGTGCAATTAGAGCTTTTTACGCTAGTGCGTGTAACCAAACTGTGCAAGTATGATATATTTACTACTGTGTTCAACAACTCCATTTATCCTGTGCGGACCTTTTTGTCAGTGCTTGTGAATATGGAGATTCCTGCAGCTGTAGCGCATCATGTGTGAGCAGAGCCTTTTGCACTCACATGGGACGTGAAATGTGATTTGTTTGCATAGCTAAGACAATAGTAATAGTATCATTCCTCGGAGAAAAGCTAGGAAAATCCAAATATGGTTGGGTTGATATTTGCCTTTACCGAAACGATAGCTTCTGCTATTGTTTCGCTAAAGGCATGTTGCCGAAATATCAACTCAACTATGTCTCCATTCTCCTGGTCTTTCTCCAAACAATAAGGCCATTACTACTGTCTTATCTATGTGAATAATGATCCTCGCTATCGCACCAAACAACTTTTATTTGTTTGGTCTAGATTTTCGTGACACACACTCAAATATTCACATGCAGTCACACATGCGGTCAAACACGTCACATGCGGCCTCACATGCCGCTGCATACGTCACATACAGTGAAATGGCCACTTAGTTGAGGATTCAGCGCGCTCGCTCATAACGGAGGGTGGGTAGCCGAAGTGACCGTTGCTGGCACATGTAACCTGACCCATGGCACCGCGTGTGATCTAAACTCACGCCAGTTCAGGACGCATCGTCATACTACTGCGCCGCTATCCCACTGTGCCACCGCCTTCATTAACTGGGCCACTGCTTTACTGCGCGTATACTGTGCTGCTGGTTGACGGTGCCACCATACCGCCATGTACTCGTGCTGCTGTGTGGCTGGCGTCGATCGACGAACACTACCGCAGTGACTGGCGCTGTACCGTTGTGCGGCCATGCTCCTGTGTAACTGTGCCTGTGTCATCAAACCGTGGTGTGACTGTGCGACGGCGTGACTGTGCGCTGGGGTGACTGTGCGGTGGTGTGACTCTGTGGCGGTGTGAATGTGCGGTGGTGTGAATGTGCGGTGGTGTGAATGTGGGGTGGTGTGACTGCGCGGTGGTGTGACTGCGGTGTTGTGACTGTATAGTGGTGTGAATGTGAGGTGGTGTGAATGTGGGGTGGTGTGAATGTGCAGTGGTGTGACTGTGCGGTGGTGTGACTATGCGGTGTTGTGACTGTATAGTGGTGTGAATGTGAGGTGGTGTGAATGTGGGGTGGTGTGCCTGTGCAGCGGTGTGAATGTGCAGTGGTGTGACTGCGGGGACATGGCTGTGGCGCTGTGAGGCGGTGCCACTGTATGACTGTGCTACTGTGCGACTGCGCATCAGCCTGACTGTGCGACGATGTGACTGCGCGGCGGTGTGACTGAATCGCCGTGTGACTGTGCCGCGGTGTGACCGCACTACTGTGGGACTGTTCCACTGTATAACTGTGCCACCATACGACTGCACCGCGATGCGACTGTGCGTCGATGCAACTGTTCCATCGTGTGGCTGTGTTGCTGTGTGAGTGTGCTGCGGTGTGAGTGCGCCACTATGCAACCGGCGCGGCGACTGGCCGTGACCGGCGCCGCCTCCGTCGCCGCAGGGTGTCGACAAGAAGCTGCGCCGCCGCCGGGATGATCGGCCCTGGTACGAGGTCAGCGACGACGAGTCGGACCTGCTGGCGGCCGACCGGTACCAGGCGATCGCACGCAGTTCCAGCGAGGAGGACGCCCAGCTCATCTAGAGCCGCCGCCGCCGCTGGAAGAGGCGCGCCGCCAACCGCGGCGGAGGGGCCAGCAGGTCGCCAGCAGAGACTGGGGAGTGAGCTCGAGCGAAACAGAGACAGACACACAGAGAGGGGGGAGGGGGGAGGGGGCGGGAAGGCAGGCGTGGGGTTTCTGCCGGCGAGCGAGCGGGGCGAGATGTAACAAAGTCCTACTTATAGCTAATTGGATTGGTTGATGATGCCATCGGAGGCGCGAGCGAAGCCAAACATCACGTTCCTTATCTGTCTACGGGTAAATTTCATGTAATAGAGATGCGCGGCATCAGCCAGCTGCAGCGGTAGTAGCAGCGCAGAGCCGGCAACTGGCCGTCCCACCCGCTGATGGGTCGGCAGCGGGCCCGCATGGTGACGGCACCGCCATGCGGTGATGTGCCTCCATGGCCGACTACCATTTACCTTGCGTCCATCCGCAGCCGACACACCGGGCCTTGTATGTACATAATGATATGTGGTGCCATTTATATCATGAGGTCTGTGCGTAAAAATGTTGCTATACGTTTTTGAATGTATTCGTTGCTCATGACCGTGAAATATCGTAAAATATACATATATTGATGATATTTTGAGAACTCTAACCACAACCTGACGACCAGTGAACTGCATTTCATACAAATTGGTACAAACTTGATGGCAAAGTAAACGATACCAGACACGGTGGGCGAGCCATGTATGCATTTCACTTGTAACGAGTGAGGACACAAAACGATTGAGCCTTAGTCAACCTAGGAGAACATCTTTAATTCGACGGTCCGGCCAGGCCTGAACCGGCTATGCCGTTATGCTTTCTGGAAGCTAAAATATCGGCAACCGCGGAGCGCAGATTCATGCAGCTTTCAGCAACAAAAAGTCAGAATTCTATTATATTGTGTTATATGTACCGCCAGGCATCTGCATGCAGGCACTGAAAACTTAATTGGCGCCACATTGACAACTTTCCAAATTCCAGATATCAAAACTAGGGTTGTCATGTTAGCATTGTTTCTGGTAGGGTACCCAGGTTCCAAGTATAGGGACCACATGGCAAACATCACACCTACAATTCAAAAAACAATAATCAAAAGTATTCTGATACATTAAATTACACCGAAAACAGGACACATGAGGCAGGTCGTGCTTCAGACCTTATTTGCAAATGCCATGAGACTGTGGTCTATTCTTCCTTTCACAGCCATGAGCTCGAATCTCAGTCTGTGCTCACTCGACTCATAATGCTGTATCTGTCAGAATTCAATGCAGGTGCAATCGGTGGCGCCAGAACTAAAAGCAGGGCGAGAGCGCCACTGGTAAGTGCGGGAAACTAGCGATTTATTGAGGGATTCATTCGGCGACGAGTCCGAATTCAGCTTGTGTGTGATCGTCTGCATTAACTCCATGTGTAAATGTCATATGCGAACATGCGTGAACAAGATATATGAACGTCTTATATGGTTAAATTCGGCACGATAGCACTGGATCTGATTCTGTTTTACAATATCAGCCTTCAAAGTCAAACCAAGGGTCAGTTACATTTTGTCATTTTCTTGTCATTTTCCCTTGTCATTTTCCATGCGCGCATCATATTGACCTCAGTGCTGATGTAACTGGCATTTAGCGCGCATGAGCCAAGGCTCCATCTCATTACGTTGGGATAGTGTGTTAGCTTGTATGCCAGTCTTTACCTGCCACGCAATGGCCCATATTATGCTACCAAGCCACATGGACGTGGGCGACGACGGACCGCGACGTGCTGTGACGTCATCAGTTTAGTGCTGCAATCACGGATGTTCATTTGCATTCTTTTGTGAGGGCCCTGGCCCCCTAATGTTGAGTTGGGCCTCCCCCAATGTTGGCTTGCCCCCCCCCCCCCCAATGCTTTCGGCTGTGGCTGAAATGCTAAAAAACTCGGTGAAAAGATGATCATAACGCAAAGATTATCTTATTTTATCTTTCTGCGTGGTGGTGTCTCGTACCACTCTCAAAACAAAAGTCATGGCTGCTCCCACCACAAGATATAAATCGTAACAACTGAGCGGATAAACGACGCAATAAATTTCACATACCTAGCGCCATAAGACGCGCAGTGATTTGTGAGGTAAAAGTGAAAAGCTCTGGAATATGGGGATGACCTAAGTCCTTCATGGCTAACCCCGTCCCCGTACCCCACAACCAAAATGCGTGCCACCTCCCATGATCGCCATAGAAGAACGCCATCGGTGCCCTAAGGTGGCCTCTAAAGGGGTGCCTTCATGTGCTGATCAGAAGAGATGCGTGCATCCAGCGCCTGCTCCCTGGATCCAACCCGGCATGACTTCTATACTGCTGAAATTAAAGACTTATAAATTATACAAAGATTAAAAACATAGACTGCTTTTATCTGATGGGCTAAATCCGGTGAGAAAAAATGGGGGGGGGGGGGCAGGTTGCCCGACCTTCGGATCGCCCCCTCAATCATTTACAAAAATTTACACCCCTGGCTGCAATGCAGTTGAAACGCATCAAGTCCATTCAATTCGTTTGGAAGATAACTTCTATTCGGACGTAGCAAGTTATATATTAACCCTTTTTATCAGCTGCAACCATATTTTTCGCACTGCATTAGGTGTAGATCCTTTTCATGCGGCCCCTTGCATGCCTGCATTTAAGGATTTCAGGAAAACACAACGGCACAACAAACCAAGAATCGTAGTGCCGGTTACTGAGAATTCAATGCAAGTGCAATCAGTGGCGCCAGAACTAAAAGCAGGGCGAGAGCGCCACTGGTAAGTGCGGGAAACCAGCAATTTATTAAGGGATTCATTTGGCGACAAGTCCGAATTCAGCTTGTATGTGATCGTCTGTATTAACTCCACATGTAAATGTCATATGCGAACATGCGTGAACAAGATATATGAACGTCTTATATGGTTAAATTCGGCACGATAGCACTGGATCTGATTCTGTTTTACAATATCAGCCTTCAAAGTCAAACCAAGGGTCAGTTACAGTTCTCGGCGGAGAACTCCGCGGTACCTGCAGTCTTGCCAACTACTACCTATTTTCCTTCATCACATAACCCTGGGATGATTACGGATGGCTGACAAGGTTCTAATTCGAGCCAACTCAAACCAGCGGACACCTTACAGTTCTGACCTTTCAGGGTCAACGTGGAATATAAAACCTATGGTCAAATGGCGTGGAACTCGGTTCGAAATACATTTCCGAATGGTGCTTAGTCGAATGCTTTTTTGCCTAACCTGAAAACCGGATTGCCTTTTCCGCCATGTTTTTGCCATGATAAAGACAGCTAAAAGACAAAGTGCGTACTAAACATATGTCAGAATGCCTGGGGTCAGAAAAGAAGGTCAGACCAAGGTCAAAACCAGCCTGTTTTGTTTGCGCTAGGACTTGCTGTATGGGCTGGTTTCTGGTGCACGTTTCGAATATATTGAAAACAGGCACCACATTGTATACCTTCCATGAATTTCTTAAGGATCAGAACAGGCCACTGACCTAAAATGAACCAGGTCAACAATCTGTTTTAAGAGTATACTGCCTAGTGTAATCCTTGTCGCTTATTCAAATGCAAAACTCAAGGCAGTCTTTTATGATTTTCGTCACCATGACATTAAAGGGGTCAAACAAGGTCACTGACCCTAAACGAGCATGTGAACTTTTGCTTAAAACAGTTATCTAGGTTCTAGGGCCCTTTGGAGACCAACCTGGAATTTGACCTTGCTTGACCTCATTTGACCCGAAGGCTATGACCTAGGAACCTCAAACTTTGACCTAAGTGAGTTCAAATACAGGTCAACACACCCTGTGAATTGGTGTCTCTAGATCTGGTCAAATCGACCCCCACCCGACCGAAGGGTCACCCGGGCGCGTGTTAACCGCTGCCTTTTTGTCGAAACGAGAAATAGACGAGCGACATTTAAACACATGCAACTGCGTCAAATGGTCAGAGAGCCGAATTCGTTTTGTAAAAATATGAAAAAACAGGTTAAATTGATATTACGTGATAACACCTGTAGGCCATAAGGGGCACCCCATAAAGTACGTTCTGCATTTACTGGCCCTTGTGGGAGCTTAACCAATGCTGGCAAGGACATGAAGGAACCATGGAGCCCGGAATGATGCTAGAGGGATGCATATTTGTGTTTCTGTCCATTAAAAAAGTTATATGCATGGATATTTTAAACAACGCTTAAACAGAACGGAATGAAGAGGATCACCCGCGCTATTTGACCCCAAAGTGGGACAGCAACAAGGCAAAAAATTGCAACTAAATAGACGTAGACCTGATAGACCTGAGGAAAGCAATAATATCAGCTTTGATTCCATCAGGTCAACTAGTAATATTTCGTGTGAAGCCAGGAACCAAACAGGCACGCGAGCCCAAAATCGTCGCCTTTATTGCATTCAGTGTTAACAATTGGGCATGGAACATTATTTTTATAGATAAGACAGCACCGCTGGCCAAATTCATCGCAGAATAATCGGAAGAAATAACTGACAGATGCATTTATATTTCGGCTACATGGGTTTATCGAAACGAATATGAGTAGCAAACTCAAACGAAAGATACCTGAAGCATTTTAAGCCTTGACAGCCAGTACCACTTTAAGAAAGAGTCCCTGCATACAACCTGTTAACAGCATTCCGATGCATAAGCGTTTGACTAAACGGCATTCGGTCAATTAGCGTTGGAATGAAAAACACTTCAGAAATCAGCATTAGACTTACGGACACTTCCGCAATCAGCAGCACTTTAAGTGCATAAGCTAGCGTCCGTCCTATTGTAACTCCTGGCCTGCCGAAATCGACATTCAATACCGAATTCAAGGGCAAATGTCAGAAGACTACTCAAATGTTCATGGCAGATTTCTTATATTTTAGCATGGCAATACTTGTGCTGTTTAATCTAGCTTCCTTAGGAAAGTTCAAACATCGAGCGGAAGGCCTTCTAGAACAAGTGTTCGTCGGCGCTGCTACCTGCACTCGCAACTCCGTCCTGTCCCATGGTGCGTCTGTTGCGCATGGAAACGAAAAAAATAACTTTGAAATGAAGAGAACAATGCGCATGTTATTCATGACTATCGTGTTGTTTTGCGCAGACTCCACACAGCAGTCAACTCTCAGAAAGCGAAAATTTGTCTGAACCTCACCAAGAAGCGGCGCTGAAATAAATGGAAAGCAAAGGAAATGAAGAAAGCATCGGAAAGTTGTCTCTAGTTTTGTGAAGAAAAATCGACCTAACTTCCATGCTCCTAAGGCACCTGTATATTAGTTACGAACGAGTCCCAGCCCATCGACAGAACCTACTCATTACAGACTGACTCCAAAAACGCTAATGGGTACGGTACCTGGCGGGAAATCACGATCGATGTTGGGTTGCTCTCGTACCTCCATTGTTTTAACTGGACACCGCACGTACCCACTCGGCTATTGCTGACCCCGTTACCAAATTACGGCTGTCGGGTTCCACACGTCGCCGCCCATGCCGGTAGTGTCTTTAAAATTTAACACGCGTCCGGGTGGCCGGCCCTTCGCTCGGGTAGGGGGTGAATTTAACCCCCATGAGATCTCGAGAACTAAGAAAGCTAGACACAACATTTACATAGTATTTTGACCTGTACGTGAACTTACTTAGGTCAAAGTTTGAGCTTCCTAGGTTATGACCTTCAGGTCAAAAAGGTTAAACAAAGTCGATTTCCAGGTTGGTCTCCAAAGTGCCCCCAGAACCTAGGCAACTCTTTCTAAGCAAAAGGTCAAAAGCCCATTTGAGGTCAGTGACCTTGTTTGACCTTTCAAAGGTCATGGTGACGAAAATCATAAAAGACTGCTCTGAGTTTTGCATTTGAATAAGCAACAAAGATTACGCCAGGCAGCATGTTCCTAAAACCAAATTTCGACCCAGGGTATCTTAGGTCAATGACCTTTTCTGACCTCTAAGAAGTCAATGGAGGATGTATGATGCGGTTCCTGCCGTCAATAAATTCGAAATGAGCACCACAAGCCATCCCATAGAGAAAGCCATAGAGTAATAAATCAGGTAGGTTGTGACCTTGGTCTGACCTTCATTCCTGACCTTAGGTCAACGTAATTTGCTCATTCAATATTTGTGGTGCCTAAGAAAGCGTCTCAGAGATGTATGGCTTCGTCAAATACTCGTACCTTTGTTTCATACCTTTCCTCTATTCGCTGGTAGCATGACACTGCCCACATCACTGAAACATATTTTGTGATCCGTATATTCATTCATCTGTTACTTCGCACAAAAGCTTGTCAAATGTAGCGCTTACAAAATACCGATTCTTTTAAGAAATGCTGCTACGCTTGCTGCGACGGGAGACAGCTCGGTAGTCATACCATAAAACGAGACATCTGGCATTGTCCTCTGCGTGCGAGCAGCCTACCAGGAGCGCCCGGAACATGAAGCGATATGAGAATGACGAACAAGGCGCAAGACTCGAACGTTCATGCCGACATGACACAGCTTACAAATGTAGACAATGATACACCTGCACATTCCATACCATGTGACAACACCCAGCACACGCAGCTCAGGACACGCGAGGCAAAACCGTTTACAATCGTCGCACGGGACAGCTTTCAATGTAATTTTTAGCCCCATTTCGGAGCGGCCGGGAACGGCAGGGCGGCCATGCCATTTGATAGCATGGCTAAACAATTTGTACTTTTAACAATAACAATGACAGATGTACCGGTATTTTTACAGCTCAGTCACTAAAGGTAACTTGTTTGTGACATTATGCGCACGCATCGACGCCACGTCTTCGTCAACAGTGATTGCGGCTCCTGCCGCCAGGGTGCGGAAGTACGGCTTGCCCCCGTCTCTGTACAGAGGCACGAGCCCTCGCAGGGTGACGGGCGCCAACAAACAGAACGAGTCGCCGTCCCTCGCGGCACGCGCGCACAACACGGACCACCCGACACCAGCGTACAGCGTACTACTTTTATGTATAAATGTACAACACACACACACGTCAATAAATAGTCCGTCTAATCGCCGCCAGAGGCGCGAGCGGCCTCCACCCGCCCGGGACTGCAGAGCCCGCGTCGGCTGCCGGGGCCTTCGGGGCCCTCTGGAGGCCGTCAGATCCTCGCATAGGCCCCTGTTTCACCGAGGAGCCGGCGATCGCCGGGTTTAAGCGTGGCGGCGGCGGCGTCGAGCCACCGGTGGGTTTCGCGTTCCTACGGCGCCGGTGCAGCCGCACACTGAAACACAGCCGCACACTGAAACACAGCCGCACAGTGCAGCCGCACACTGAAACGGTCGGACGCCATTCAGCCGGGCGTGGCACCAGGCGGTCAGCCGCGGCGTGCGCAGCTCACGACGGCCAGGTCACGGCGCCCGCGGCGGCCGAGGTCACTGCGACAGTGCTGTCCACGGAACCGGCGACAGTCGCACCGCAGTGCCCAAGGCGATCACTCTCCCGCTGCCCGCGACAGCCATGTCCATAACGCGCAGGCCAGTCGCCCCTTCAACACAGCTGAGGATGGACATTCTCAAATCGCCGTTTGCCATGGGCATCGACGGTGTCCACTGCGAAAAGCGCACACAACTTCGGAAAGCATATGCCACGAGAAAGGGAACGAAACTCATTTTTGACAGGTGCCGTCACCCGCATCGCGACGCAGGCTGGCGGTGCGCACTACGTCAGCGCTGACACCCCGCGGGGCGTTCGTCCAGGCCTTCCGACGCCGGGGGCGATACTCACGCGGGGCGGGCAGCGGGCCTGAGCGGCGCCGGGGGGCGTGCGGTGGTGTTTGTGCGCGGCCGGTGACGCGGCGGCCGGGGCGGGGCCAGACCGGCGGCGCCACCGACCGGTGTTAGTCGTGCGAGCCGTGACGGTCCGGGAGGCGCTGGGGCGCGCCCGCCGGACGCCACGGGACAGAGGGAGAGCGAGTGAGCCACCACCAGCGGGGAGCGGTGAAGACGGGGACAGCCGTGCACCCATCACCTCGAAGGAAAGAAGCGGTTTAGTAAAGTACAATCCTATTTTATTCGACCTTGTACGCTGTACTATCGCACATCGGACAACTCATATACAAAACGCATAAACATTGCACGTAACGGTAAAAAACTAACCGGGCCGCACAATCGTCACAAACGGGCAGCATCCGCACGACACCAATATTAACAACGGATTTAGAGAACCTCCTGACCTAGCGATGTCGCGGAGCTCAGCTCACCGAGAAGAGCTGAAGCGACCGGGGCCGACGCCAACCCGACCTGCCTTACCAGACGGCGGGACCCAGCTCTGAGCCGCCCTGACCTGACCTGACCTGACCTGAGGGGCGGCACTGGCTGGTGGGCGTGCCGTTCCCCCACCCAGCTGCGGCTGACAGACAGGCGCGGCTGCAGGTCCGGCCGCGCCCGCCCCGAGCCACACAGAAGGGCGCCCGGCCGGCGCAAATAAGGCACACGCACACACGCATCCAAACACACCACCAACAGAACAGCTTCGATCGCAAAGCACCAACAATCGGTAGTCTTATTTTAGCGCGCTCATGCGCACCGCACGCCAACGCTGTCTCATGGTCGCACATGGACAATCGTTATTGATGGTATGACCCAGCACACACCAACGCCGGACGTTCGTGCTCATCAGCGCCCCGTACGCACGCACGCGCATATTCAGCCACCGACAGAGCCAGTCCGCCGCGCTAGCGCTAAGCCCGGGCCAAATTTTGTACTATTTTCAAAGTTAAATAACTACTAAACTCCTGCCCAGGTCAGTGCAGTGACAAACACCAGCAGGTCACACCAGTATCACATTCGAGTCGCACAGCTTGTGTGGGTGGCGCCGGCGGCCGGCAGTGTTCGGAGGGCGCTGCTCGGCCCGCCGCTCGCGCCGCCCGGCCGCCCGGAGACCGCGCCCCGCCATCGCTCACCGACACAGGCGTGATCGAACACGGCTCACAAACCTCGCAAACGAATATTTACAACGTTCAGACACCTACATGTCGAGCGAGTACCTCGGCGATGACACAGGTGTGGATATAGCTTGGAGGTGCCAAAATTTGAATACATGCTCTAAGATCCTGCACAAGGCAGGAAGTAGAAATTCATTGTCACCTCAGACTAAAGACTCATGCTATGCGCGTCCGACGACCGAAAGCGGTCGTGTCGGCATATTCATATCAAACGCGATCTTTCCACGGATTATGCCATGAAATTGATCAAGCCAGCAATGAAACACAATATGCTGCTGTTCATTTACCGTAAAAAGCGACAGGTAGCCATGACGCGTTATTGATTGCAGTCAACTAGAACCGTTCGCAGGGCACAAATCAGCATTACACAGTATTTACTCACAGGCGGTTCTAGATTAATTCGCCTAGAACCAGTCTTAAACCCATCCCATTGTCAATAAAAGCTTCTTACCGAGCCCTATTACAACACCGACAGCCGTCCACTTCTTTCCGCACCGCACCGAATACAGCCGACACACCTCTTGACAGGTGGGGCCTCACCGACCGACCGGCCCAGCCGACACACCTCTGACAGGTGGGGCCTCACCGACCGACCGGCCCAGCCGACACACCTCAGACAGGTGGGGCCTCACCGGCCGACCGGCCCAGCCGACACGCCTCTGACAGGTGGGGCCTCACCGACCGACCGGACCGACCGACACACCTCTGACAGGTGGGGCCTCGCCGACCGACCGGCCCAGCCGACACACCTCTGGCAGGTGGGGCCTCACCGACCGATCGGACCGACCGACACACCTCTGACAGGTGGGACCTCACCGACCGACCGGACCAGCCCATACCCGACAGAGGTGGGGAGGGGTAGGGGGATGGGGACAGGCTCAGCCACCCACCCTGGCGCGCGACAGCGCGACACTGGAGGCCTCTGCACTACGCTACTCACTCTGTACACGCACGTACGCTCACGTCCGCCACAGCGCGTGGAAAATAAGCCAGGCCTGGGCCCGACTGCGGCGGGTCTCGTCCGCCCGTCCTGCCCCGCGGACCGGACGCGGCGCCGCCCCGCTGCTCTATTATGCAGCCCCGTACCTTAGTTCCAACGCCATGAGAAAGCCTGAGTTGATTGCAATCATGCAGGTAGATGTCGGTGCCAGCCACCGCGGCAGCCAGCCGGCGGGCGGGCGGCCCCCGGCCCCGCCGCCAGAGCGCTGGTCCAGGGAAGGCAGCATTATGGAGGCCCGTGGTGTGGGGCGGGCGCCTGAGCTGGCGGCGGTCAGACCGTCACCGGGGACAGAGCGCCAGCGGCCGGCACGCGGCCGGCACCGAGCGCGTCGGCTACCTTTCGTTCAGCTGACGACTGAGAACAGCTCTTTGTGAAGGGCCGGAAACTCCAGGTGAGGCGCCAGCCGCTTGAAGTTTGCGATCACTTCAAAGTAGGTGGACGAAATCTCCCTAGAACGATCGAGCACATCATGAACGGGTGACCAGGCGGCACCTGCAATCTGGCAGCCAACATATGGAAACAACCAGCGTGCACCGACGCCCATTCATTAACTTGCGTGATATTCATCAGCATCTGCAGCGTACCTCAAATGACCAGAAAACCAACGGGACAGCCAACTGCAGAAGCAAAAGCTCGCCTCACGCCGCTTCCCCATTACACAGCCAGTTTCCTGTCAGTGTTGGCGGCGGTGTCCCACGTCTGCGCTCGTGACCTGCCAACCGACGCACCTGAGACTGGGGACCTTCGACACCAGCAGCTGGTAGGCGGATACGTCGCCCTTGACCGGCGTCGGGTGCGAGCGCTCCAGCATGATGCGAAGCGCCTTCAGCAGCTCCTGATTCAGGTGCTGCACACTGTCCAGGCAGGACAGGCCGGGCCGATCTGGCGGACGGTGGACACGGTCAGCGGACACGAACAGCGGACACAGTCGGCGGACAAGAACAGCGGACATAAACGAACAACGGACACAGTCAGCGGACACGAACGGTGGACAGAAACAAACAACGGACACAGTCAGAAGACGCAGTCAGCGGACAAGAACAGCGGACACAAACGACCAACGGACACAGTCAGCGGACACGGCTCGACGCCGTGGTAAACATTTATCAGCCAGTGGAAGCGCCAGGGCGCTTCACTGACGTTGTCGTACTAAACAAGCTATTCGAACGGAGCAAATTTACTCGGCCAATGTCTCCCCGACATACCTGTACGTCACAACCTCACAGAACGGGGCAGGGATGGTCGACGTGCAACCCTGTGCACAGTAGGTCCGACCCGCATGCTCATGTAACAAGTCATAGTTCAATGGCGTGCGTCGGCATGATTGAAATGGCACACACTTTCCAACGCAAAAGCGTCCCCAGATGCATGCCACGGCTAAAACGGGCCGACAGGACGCTGGGTGCCAGCAGCAGTCGGCGCGTCGTCCGGCAGACTTCGAAGGGAGGGAGGGAGGACGGGCAGCGCAGCGAGCGGACCCCACCTGGCGAGACCAGGCAGAAGGCGGAGAACAGCGCCAGCTCCGTCTCCGTCAGCTTCAGCTCGGCCAGCGCGCGCGCCAACTCGAACACCTCCGTCACCAGCTTCATCTCCATCGTGTCGCCCGACAGGAAGAAGTCCATCCGCATCACCGTGTCGCCGTACAGCACGACCGACTGGGCCGGGTCGAAGTACCGCGACATCCGCAGCACAGTCAGCTCGAACGCGCCTGAAAGCGCAGCACGCGCGGTCAGAGGCGCGCCAGCCTGCTAGACACAGGGCCTATCGGACACGCCGGTGGGCTTCGTAATCCAGGGCACACTTCGCTGTGATGTGCACGTCAGTTCATATTGTCAGTCAGTTTCCAATTTTGAGAAAATAATACATTTTCTATCCCCGCATATCTTTCACGCTATGACTCTTTCCCAGCGCCTAAAGCACGTTAACACAACTGCGCTCTCAACACAAGCGCAATAAAACATCTCATCCGACATCACAACGGATGAGCTCCATTCAGCGATCATAACTTCGTCATAATAAAATAGCTCGTCCCCAAACTGTCAGCGGCGCTGATTGCCGCGACGTCTGATCGGCAGCGATCGGAGTCCAGTCATTCGTCACCACGCAGCGCCATTTTTCGGGGGCAGCGACGGCGGCCGAGGTGGTCGGCTCTCCACGACGGAGCCCATAGATCACGCGCCGCGGCACGCAGCGGTGGGGGCTGGGGGCCGCCGCAGTCGGGCGTTGGTGCGAACCAGAGCCGAGGCTACAGCCCTTTCACGAGGCCATTCAGTATTTCGATGCCAGTGTGGATACACTGTGTGGTTAAAGCTCGACACTATATGGAGTGACGATTCCAACGCCTAGTGATGAGTAGAGGTTGATGCACAAAGTAATGAAGTTGGGCACGTCTATGCTGATTTTTGCTCAGAGCTGTGACGGAGGATGCATTCGCTATTCATGCCTCACGCCTCAGCGCTCACACCACACGAGGACGGTCATGGGTCACTAATGTAAGTCGAGGAAGGCAAGATGTACCCTGAGGTACACCGCGTTCAGGCAAATACTACAGGGAAGGGACAGTGACACCGTATCGAATGGGTGGCATACGTGGCAATAAGGTAGCACAATAAGCCCTATCACTTCACGGAACGGACCCTGCCCGTGCACTACTTCCCAGAGGGACGCGAACCTGCTTTCAAGAGGGTGATCTTGTCCGTCTCCGGGTAGTCCATGAAGCCCGGCAGCGCTTTCGCGAACTCGATGATGTTCTGGATTTGGGAGGTGACCTTCTGGGCAGCGTCCATCATCAGGTCCTCGTGACTCTGCAACCGATCACAGCGTCACAACCCGGCTGGCGCCTGGTTCCACACCTCACGGCAGCACGGCACGGGGTCCTCACGCACGCATGCCACTCGATCACACGCGGACGACGTACGCCACGTGGATCACATGCGGACGACGTACGCCACGTGGATCACATACGGACGACGTACGCCACGTGGATCACATGCGGACGACGTAGGCCACATGGATCGCCGGCATGCCTCTCGCTTGCTCTTTCACTCATCAGACTTTAGATGCATTCAGCCGGTTCTACCGCTCAATCAGCCTTCTTTATATCAACAGCGTTGTCGCAAATATTCGGAAGAGTTTTGCAGCCCTACACAATCATCCATCACCATCATCCAAAATCACTTCGTTCCGGTTGGTCGAGCCTTCTATCCAACCATCGACCTGGCGATCCCTTCCTTCCCCGCCACCGACAACGGCGCCGCTTTGGCGATCCCCGCCTTCCCCGCCACCGACAACGGCGCCGACCTGGCGATCCCCGCTTTCCCCGCAACCGACAACGGCGCCGACCTGGCGATCCCCGCCTTCCCCGCCACCGACAACGGCGCCGACCTGGCGATCCCCGCCTTCCCCGCCACCGACAACGGCGCCGACCTGGCGACCCCCGCCTTCTCCGCCACCGACAACGGCGCCGCGACTCACCAGTTTACTGAAGTAGGAGAGTTTAATGAGATCCTGGGGCTTCCTGAGCATGTCCTGGATGTACTCGCTCGAGAAGAGCAGCGTTTTCCTGTGCGCTTCGGTCACCGTCTCGGCCAGCAGGTACGAAAGGCGGGACGGATCTGTCGACGGAGGTGCGTCACGGTTCGGCCGCCGACGACACTGCTGGCCGAACTCATCCCAGGGCGTGAGTCAGACGAAGCTACTGACCGAACACTCACACACAGAGACGCGCCCCACGTCATCGCTTACCGGGCGGCGCAGAACGCGGCGGACGAGACGGGCGTCATGAACGGTGGGGCCGGACAGTGCAAGCCGACAGAGGGACAGAGGTGGCAAAAGGCGGCCCCTTCGCCGCTCGAAGCAATGGGAGCCTCCAGTGGTAAAGTTTGTTTGGAAAGTGCTAAGAAAGACGCGACAGTGAGAGAAGAACCTTTCTATCATATTCCATAAACAGTGCCAAGGACTGTCAAACCCATCACCGACAGCAGGCGAACAGAAGATTTCGGTGGAGTCACTGGCGGGTGGGTGGGGGCTGGGGGTGGGGGCGGCGGCATAAGTAGCCGTGTCAGGACCGCCTCTCCGGCTCGATTGCACAAAACGGTAAGCGGGGAGCTGGCAGACCGCCAACCTCAATGGGTTACTACCGCGGGCCGATGTTATCACACTGCGAGACCGGGCGGGGCCACTCGCCAAATAGGACGGGCATGACCAAGAGCGCTCACAAATCGCTCAATCTGGCTAGTGTACGGTGCAACCCGACGCCAGTGGGCGCGGTCGGCCGAGAAATGGGCGCCGTGGCTGAGCCTGCCGCGGCGCCGAGTGCTCCGCCCGCTGGCCAGACGTACCGGGCGGCCGGTCGGTCGGGGGGAGGCTAGGAGTGGGGGTGGAGCAGGCGTTCCGCTGCCGCTCGTCAGTGCTGTCCACGGCGGTATAGCTGCCCAGTGGACTGAGACAGCTGCCGCCACCGCTGCCTCCGCCCTCCATCTCCTCCTTGATCATTGAGTCTGTTATTCTATGAACTCGCGGGATCTGTGCTTCAGGCGGCTGCAGCGATGGACCTTGCTGCTGACACAGAGCCTGCTGCTGCTGCTGCTGCTGCTGCTGCTGCTGTTGCTGCTGTTGCTGCTGTTGGTGTAGCTGATGCTGCTGCTGCTGCTGTTGCTGTTGCTGCTGCTGTTGTTGTTGATGCTGCTGCTGCTGCTGCTGCTGCTGCTGCTGCTGTTGTGCCTGAGTCCGGCCTGGTAAAGGGCAGATGCGCTAGAAATCAGACAGCATGCGAAGGCACCATCGGCCACTGCGACTAGCCGAGGGTGGCGAGAGGCGATAGCTTTAATGAAGAGCTTGCTGGGCAGGCTATTGTGACACAAGAAGTGGATGAAGATCAGGCCATGAAGCTGTTTTGTGGATCTTTATGTCACATGTGTCTAGCATGACATTGTTATTCGGAGCAGGGCAAACCACTCCGCTTGAATGTAAACTTACTGAAGCTTTAACTTGAATAGGAGCTTACTATATACAGTGAAATATCTCAAGATGAAGCGTTGGATTTGAAAGGTCGCCATCACCTTCTTATTTGAAACATAAAAATGTCCCCTCACCAACTCGCATGCATCACAGTTAGACAGGACAGACATAGAAGAGTACGCACCACGATTCCCATCTCACAACGTCGCAGTCGGCTTCGGCAGCGGCCGGAGGGGTCGCCCGATCCGCACGGGAGGGGGAAGGGGGGGGGGGGGGCTCCGCCGTCACCAGCCGCCGCGCGCCGTACCTGAGCCGGCGAATGCGCCTATGAGGCCGGCGCCGGGCAGCTGCTGGCTGCTCGACATGGCCTCGATCGGCGACTGCCAGGAGGGCGTGGTCGAGTCGACGCCGTCGTCCATCGAGAACGGGAACGGCGACGGGTAGCCGCTGGGCTGGTACTGGCCCGACAGCTCGCTGGGGCCCGTGTACCTGGCGCCGGGCGCGCACGAACGACTGTCAGCGGACTGTCGGCGCGGCGCCCTCACGCCGACACGCGGCACGCTCACGCCGACACACTGCACGCTCACGCCGACACGCGGCACGCTCACGCCGACACGCGGCACGCTCACGCCGACACACTGCACGCTCACCCCGACACACGGCGCAACACCGGCCGACGCCACCACGACCGTGCCGCCAAGCGTCAGCCGACATACACCATGCATGACGTTATCTTCTGCCGGCGAGCATTCGCGGCCATTTTGAATCCTTTTCCAGTAGGCGGTTTGCCGGTACTCTACATACTTTCTATATGCCGGGCTATATAAGCCAAGCCACATCAAAACATTGCATCCAGTGCTTTCTTACGGATTTGATGCACCAGAGCCCCAAACCCCAATACCCTCCCCCCCCCCCCCTAAAAAACACGATGACATCGATAAATCGCTAAGCACTTAAAACGAAAGCCACCACTGGAAGCCGAGCAGCGTGTTAAGCGGGACGACACACAAAGCACGACGAATGTCTACTTTTATAGGCAGCAGCTACACCATTATGAATAATTTTCCCGCAAGCGGTTTGCCGGATGCCCCACAGACAGAATGAATCAAGCCACATGAAAACATTGTAACCATTTTCATCTTACGGACTTGATGCACCAACGTTCCTAAAACACGCTGGCATAGACAAATTGTGGAGCACTTAAAAAACGAAAACCACCACCGCCAAGAAAGCATCGGAAGCGTCCGTCTCACGGTTGATAGTTGCTGTACGCTCCGATGGGGTCCTGCGACGACGACGGCATCTGGTGGCCGTCCGGGTAGACGGACGAGTCGGGCGACGAGCCCTCAGCCGCCAACACCATCTTACCGCGGTAGAAGCGCACCTCGTCCTCCACCTTCTCCCGCTGCTTCTTGGACATGCGACCGAACTTGACGGCTGCCGGTGGGCAACGGCGGGTCAGGTGAGGCTGCTGGTGGGGGAGGGGGGGGGGGGAATAGCGGAATGGGGCGCGGTGATGGCACGGACGTCGAGAAAAACACACTCCGTGTGATGTCAGGCTTACAAGCGCTGGCCAGACAGAGTTCATGTAAAAGAGGTTGTCGTGTCTATGGCTCAATCAGAGAAATCTATGTCTGAATGGTGATCCTGATTGCACGCTGCCACACCAACAACACTCCATTATCGCCTTTATTGTTTCTGGGACATGTAGGCTGGCGGTGTAAATCCATCGCTGACGAAGTCCTCCAAATAGGTTAGTTCGATAATCCAGCGCCCGCATCATCTGGGTCAGCGGCGCGCCCTACGACCCGCGACCTGCGCCGGGGGACAAATGGTCCAGCCGAGACCGAAACCGAAACCGGAACCGGAACCGGAACCGGGACCGGGACCGGGACCGGGACCGGGACCGGGACCGCTGGGATACCGCGGCAGGTGCACCAGATGGCGCACCGGTGAGACACTGGCCCAGTCCGCCGCCGCCGGCCACCTGCCGCCGCTTGAGGTTGGTGACGTCACCACGACTGAAGCCCGTGACGTCACGGGCCCAGTGACCCAGTGCGCAGCGCGGCGAGTGGTAGTGCGTTCCACCACCCACAGATGGCAGGAGCTGTCCGTGCGGCACCGGTCGGAACGCGACGCGTAACGGGTTTTTAACCCCGGCGTAACGGCACCAGGCTAGCGCGGCAAATCGCTCTCCATACACCGGAAAACAAAGAAGCGACAACCAGCTCTCTGGCGCAGTCTCGAAAAACGACACAAGGCACGGTTAGCAGCCGCCACGGCAGGCACGGTCGCGGCGCCAATTCGAGGGTGCAGGGGGCCACGGCCGAAAGGCACCGCCAGCGTCCGACGCCTGTGCTCTTTGGAACAGGTTGGTCGCACACCCCTGGACCGCCGGTCAATCCGACGCGCAGGGGCAACGACCTTGCTCGGACACGGGACGCCGGTCCAATAATACGCCAGCGCCGGCGGACACTTGAGCCGGGGCCAACGCAGCCCCCCCCCCCCCCTTGCCCCTGTCGAGTACAAACCGGTGGCCAGACGCACGCTCCCGGAAGCGGCCCGGCTGGCGGGTCATGAGCCGGCAGCACGCGGACGCCAGTCCGTCTGGCCGAACTGCAGCGCTCTGCAGCCGGCGCAGTCGGAGACGCAACAAGCTGCTGAATCGTTGTCGTCTGGGCAAAGGGGCAGTGTCGAATGTTAAGCCGCTGATATCGCACAACAAAGCATCCCTGGCAATGCCTATTCCTGCTGTACCTATTTTGAAAATCGGACTCCTGGTGCCACACGTGTTTTGTAAATAATTTTACCTCTACAACTCGTGGACACAATCCCGTCGCACAGCTATCACCTGGAGCAAAACCTGGACTTTGCCGAAGTCCCTAAAACCCTGCCTATACTCTTGAAAAAGCGTTCATGATAACCGCCACGGGTTAACTAACTTCAGCGGGTCGTCAGGCCCGACGACACCTCCCAGCACCGGGCGGTGCCCGAAGACGTGGTGGCGCCGGCGCCCGACAACGTCTGCTGGCGGCACGGTCCGCGGCCCAGTCTGGCCGCCTGCCAGCGGCGGGTCCGGCCGTCCGGGTCATCAAGATCGCCAGCGGCGGCGGCGGTCCGGGCGGCGACGCGGCCAGGCGGGACGGCGGCGGCGGCTCCTCCTGGCGTCTCCGGGGCCGCCGATCCGGCCCCACCACCGCTCCGGGCCGACCGACCGACCGCCCGGCGCCACCGGGGGGTGCTGCGCCCACAGGACGCTGCGTCTCCGCTCGAGCCATCATGCAAACGAAAAGCCACGCCTCTGTGCGTGCTGTGCGAGCTCTTTTGCAGCCCCAGCGGAAAGCATCGCTTGTGTCCAGGACTCCATTACACGTCGGACTCTGGCATTCTGCAAGGAACCCAAGACTTCAATGCTCTGCGCCCTGCACACAAATACCCTACCCCACCCCCCACTTTGTGCAAGTTCCGCCTCGGTAATCTGCGACAGCCGCGCCGCACGTCGCCCCCCCCCCCCCCCTCCCCTCCGTTCGTCCTCTTCAGCCGCAGAGTTCATTCGATTCCCTGCGCAGGCTGGATGCGCAGACAACTTTGCCATCCGACATGTGCGACTGAGACTAGGGGCAGCAACTGCTTGAGCAAACACAGGAGAAGGTGGCGTAAACGCAAAACACTGGACCGTGAAATTCATGTTCGTCTGAAACTACGAAATAATATGCACCGCTCCCTTAATACAAAGGAAGCTGGTTATGCATGTATGCCTTCTTCTGAAATGGGTACGGACGTTGCTCTAAGCATTACATCGTGAACACACGACGCAAAAATCATCTCACAATGTACAGCCAGTCCAGTCACCTTTCGTTACAAAAGGGCCACCACCACGACCTGACTAACCGCGCCACTTTTCTGTCGTGACAGGGACCATCACAAAACCACCCGACTCTCAGTCAGCGCCACCTCCGGGGAGGAGGCTGGCAGGCTCGCGGCCCGACCGCGGCTGCAGCAGCCCAGCAGCTCCATCCATCTGTTGAGTCCGTTAGCCTGCGACGCGACAAAACTCGGCCCGACGCGCCCGTCGCCCGACAGCTGCGTTTGGCTTGGCAACGGGCCGATTTTCCTCGCCGGATCACACCTACGCTTCGACTACTGACCCCGAGCCGGAGGGTTCAGGAGGTGTCGCGCGGCGGTAAGCGGGGCTGGGGACGACGGCGGGAGCAGGGCTGGGGACGACGGCGGGATTAGCCCCCGTGAGGCCAACGCTCCGTTCTGGCGTTCGTGTGACGCCGTCCGTTCGGAATTCCGTCCAAGACGTGCTGAGCTGGGCCCTGCACGCGCGTGCTGCACATCCAGCCCGTCCGGCGGCGGCGGCGGTCGTTGAACTCCGAAAGCCGGCCCGGTCGCCGGTGCGCTCCGCGGAAACACCGGGCGGCACGGAGCGGGCCGTATCAGCTCCGATGATCGCTGATAGCCAGGTGCGAGAGAACGAAAACAGTGGCGACAAACCCTGCAGGCCAGCGCTGCAGCAAACGGACCGAGTTTATCCACGTCACGGAAAATGCTGTCCGGAGAACTTTCTGGATATTTGTTCAACATCGAGCACGACTCCAGCAAGCCTTCGAGGAAATACCCGAAAGGGCTGTCTGATATTCAGCAGCTAACGGCCACACGCGCATTGCTGTTGGTTGCGGCACGACCACCCTGAGCATCACAGCCGTCTCCGCCCGACGCCCGCCGACCGTGGTCAGCCCCGGGCCGGCGGCCGCGCTCGCCGCAGATTCGCTCTGACCCGCCCGCCCCGGACGTGAGCTGAACTCGAAGCGAGGCCCCGCAGCGGAAAATCACGGCAGCCAGCAGGGCCCGGCCCCTAAAGCGTTCCAAGCACGGCCTGCAGAGGGGCGCCGCGTGCCGCATATCGCCCGAAGACCGCGAAGGTCACCGGGAACGTCACCAACCGCGTCGCGTATCGCCCAAAGACCACGGAGGTCACCGTCGCGCGCCGCACATTGCCCGAAAACCGTGGGGGTCACCAGGAACGTCACCGACTGCGTCGCATATCGCGTAAAAAACACGGAGGTCACCGACGCTCGCCACATATCGCCCGAAAACCGTGGAGGTCAGCGGGAACGTCACCGACCGCGCTGCGTTCGGACCTCATGAATCTCATGTACTGACAGCAATTGCATGAGCGAAGCCTCTCTCGGGACGAACAGCAAGCCGCAGTGTGCTACAGTGTGCTTACAGTGTGTTATTTACTCCAAGGCGTAGGCGTAATCCTCGAAGCGCTGCATATCCATGGCCGTCCGTCTTCGCTGGCTGTTGATTGCTACTGTTCCGTTCTTCCACTCCATCCGAGGCGTGATGGATCGCCACAATATTGGCCGCAGCAGTTCCATGTTTAGCTGCATAACAGCCACATTCGCCGGAGCAAAACAATGTCCACATTTGCTGAACAGCGGACATAAACAACGCGCAGCACTCGGCCCCACTGGCGAAATTTTCGCAGCGAGGATCCTACCCATGCCGCCACCGCACCTATCCGGCCCCCGGCGGCCCCAAAGTTGGTCTCCATGTTGGCCGATGGCGGTCCCACAGCTGCAGGGCAGCTGCGCACGCAATGTCAGCGCCGACTGAGCCGGGCCGAGGGCCGGCGGCAGTGAAAGTGATGCCGCAGGATGCAGCGCCAAACTGGCGTGACGTCACAGCCCGTGACTCACCCGCGATGAAATACGGCAGTTCGGCAAGACCGGCCTTGGCGATAGGCGAAACGACGGCCTGGATCTCACGCCACGAACGTTGTTTTTTGGATTCGCTTCAACCGCCGCTCACAAATCGCCTGTTGGTCGGTCTCGTGTATCTGCCTCCGCCGTTTCCACATGCGCGGGCAGGACGGACACCGGCCCGCCCTGCACGTCACGTACGAGACGCGTCTCCGGGCGTCTCTCGCCTCACACGTCTAGCCGAGCCGGAGGTGATGTTACGCACCATGCCCGGCGGCGCTCGCCGATGCGGCCGTGATGCGACGTCACTGGCGCCCCCGGACGGTCCGGCGGCGGCGCCGGAAGGGCTGGGCTCGCACCGCGCGCACCAGACTCGTTAACCCACTTCTGGCGCTCACCATCGAGCCACTGACGTCATGCACATGAGCCCAACTATTTATGGGTGAAACAAAGCGAGCCGCAGCCAAATGGCAACAACGGCAGCGGGGGTAGAGCGGCGGCGGCTGCCAACCATCTGCCGGGTCAACAGACCGCAGCCGGGTCAGACACCGCATCCCACCCAGCAGTGTGACAGCCGTCATCATACGGCAGTCACACAGACGGCCGTCATCATACCACCACACCATCATACCCGAGGCTACACACACACAGTGCACATCACATCCCGCCAGCCTGGCATGGGCACAACATGACCAGGGCTGTCGAAGCGCCTATGAGCCCAAA